TGTTTCTTGACATAAGGTTTGCCTTCGATTCGTTGAACAGGACTGTTCTCTGGGATTGTCTATTAAAGGAGGGTGTGCCTAAGAAATTTATTAACATCTTAAAAGCCCTATATACAAACACCTCAGGCAGAGTGAGGGCACATAATCACCTCTCTCCATTGTTCCATTCAAGCAGTGGGGTTAGACAGGGTTGGCCAATCCCAGCATTCCTCTTCAACTTTGCTATCGACGACGTTCTCGGAACAGCTCTGAGGGATGTAAGTAATGGTGGTGTGGATCTGTTGCCCGGGGAAAGACTCCTCGACATTGAGTATGCGGATGATATTGTCTTACTGCACGATAATACTCAAGTCATGTAATCCTCACTTAATCAGTTGTCAATTAGTGTCCATAGTTATGGTATGTGCTTTGCACCTTCGAAGTGCAAAGTACTTCTACAAGATTGGCAGGACCCTGATCCTGCACTCACCCTGTATGGTGAGCGGATAGAAGTAGTCGAGTAGTTCGTGTATCTAGGTAGCTGCACAAGTGCTGGTGGTGGCGTGAGTGAAAGCCAGAGCGGCTCATGTCAATCTGGGCCACGTTTTTTCTGCCGTCGTGATGTTAGTCTGGCTGCAAAACATCGGATCAACAACGTGTCTGTGAGAGCAGTTTTGCTCTATGCTTGTCAAACCTAGTTACCGAGTTGGGGATGTTATACGACTCTCTGTGTTTGATCATCGTTGTCTCCGAAGGTTTGCTGACATCCAGTGGCAACACTATGTTAGTAATGCAGAGGTTCAGCATCGTGCGTTCGGGCACAGAGACGATAATTCAGTTGGTGTCACTATCTTGAAACATCGACTTCTGTGGCTTGGACATGTTCTACGAATGTCGTCCCAGAGAATTCCACGTCGTGAATTATTTGCCCACTCTAGGACCAGTTGGAAAAAACTGAGAGGTAGTCAGTGTATGACATGGTGTCGTGGTGTGAAAGAAAGTTGTGCGTGACTGGCTTCTGTTGGTTCTTCATGACTCCCTGGTTGGGGTCTGAGAGATGGTGCTCCACAGTGGCTAGAGACGTTATCAGATATGGCTCAGAATAGAAGCCAGTGGCGGTCCTGCTGTAGGTTTTTTTACTTTCTCCATAAAAAAGGACGTCACCTCTTTAAGTGGAAGAATTCTTTGTGGTTGTACTTTTACTAATTGAATTGCCCCTCCCATTATTGTTATTTCAGTATCATACACAAATTCTGTTCATTGTTGTACTTCTTTTTACTTATACTCGCCTTACATTCTTTATATCTTCACATTCTCATTATTATTGTATGGCGCATATGTATCTGGTGCCCCTTTGTACCAATGTTTTTCTGTTCAAATAATTAATTAATTATTTAACATAATTGTACAAGTAGAAGCTACCAAGAACTTCAACATTGTGCACAGAAAATGAACGGTTGCGTATGTTTATTTTATATTTAGAGAAATGCAAAATTTTACTGTTGTTTGGAAAGTATACATGCAGAGATTTTGACTCACACATATTCACAGTTAATTAATTAAATTATACACATAAACAGTGGTACAAGGAGACACCAAATAGATATGCTCCACATAAATTATTCGATTTGTGTGAGGTCTGGAATACTGCACGGTTACCCAAACAGAAGCAGGTGGTTTTCTTAGGAGGCCATACCCGAAGCCTTCCACCTAAAGATCTAATCCACAAGGCAGTGGAGCAACGTCAGCAGATGCAGTCACATGGTAGCCGGTGACCAATGATTGGTTCGTATACCACTCGTTCCCTCAGGATTCTGGAGCTCATGTGCACCATTGGTTTGGAATCGGGGTTTTCCAACTACCCTAAGTGGACCCTCCTTATCCACCAAACCCGGGTAAAGTGCCGGACATTCGGTTTTCATCCTCTCAATTTGGTAAACAACACCCCCACCACGGGAAGGCAGTGAGTAGGACTTCCCTGGCTGGTTGTATGCACGTGGCCACTTGAGAGCATTTCGAGATGGAGAGCTGACGCTCTACACTCTCGGCCTTACTAGGGCATTTGATGACCATATGCACAATACAAAAAGCATGGTCTTACAAGTGTTACTCACCACCTAATGTACAATCATTAGCATTTGTCTTAGTATTATTCTTAGGATGACTAAAAGAGGTTGTGTCTTGAGTGGCTTCCTTTGCCAATATGATTAATACAGATAAACTATCCTCACTCATCTCAATTGATTGATCACTGGGTGGTGATCAGTGTCATGCTTGTCTAGTCCTTATTAGTGCAGATCGAATGCTATCGATCATGTTGCAATGTGGCCAACAGTCTAGGTGACTCGACACTGCGGGCACTATGTATTGAGATTTAGATGGTGGTTGGAGGTAGTCAACAGGAAACCCTGGACCCGGGTTTCGTGCTAATTGGCACTCGTAAGCAAGGTGTACCTGTAATCTTGAGGGAACTGATGCTCCCAATACATAGTGCCCGTAGTGTCGAGTCACCTAGACTGTTGGCCACATTGCAACATGATCGATAGCATTCGATCTGCACTAATAAGGACTAGACAAGCATGACATTGATCACCACCCAGTGATCAATCAATTGTGATTACATCTCAGTCCTACAGGAGGTTAGTCACGGCTCGGATAGCTCAGTGGTACCGTCTCTGACTGTGAAGCTGGGTGACACGAGGTCGAATCCGCCAGGGAGCATCAGTTCCCTCAAGATTACAGGTACACCTTGCTGACGAGTGCCAAGTAGCTCGAAACCCGGGTCCAGGGTTTCCTGTTGACTACCTCCAACCACCATCTAACCTCACTCATATTTGTACTCTTGTTTAACAGTACTAAATTCAGTCACATTCCATGGTTCTTTGAAGTAGTATGACTTCGAATTATAGTGGGCTCATTCAAATTGCTTATCGACCAACCAATTGTAAGTACTCAGCCAATGAAGCACAGGATGCATTTCAACTTCAATATGACCTGGAAATTAGTAGTATTGTGTTGTGTGTGCTAATTATATCGACATAAGTGGTATATGACGTCAGTCAGGAACAGAATGTCTGGCAGTAGAGAGACATGAGGATCGATCTGTAAAGAATAAAAACAGAATGCAATTTGTATGAAAATGCAAGAACAAGGAAGTCTGAGTCATTTTAAGACAATTGATGGACATTTTGCAAATTAAGTATTACTATATGATTATTAGCAGGACCCGACAATATACCAGCTGAAGCACTAAAGTCAGACATCGAAGTAACTACAAACATGCTTCACCTTCTATTTAAAAAGATTTGGGAGGAGCAAATGTGAAAAATACAGAGTCATCACATTACTGTCAGTACCAGGGAAATCTTTTAACAGAGTGTTACTGAACGGGATGAAAGAGGCAGTAGACGCCCAACTTCAAGATCAACAAGCTGGATTCCGTTAGGCTCGGTCGTGCACAGACCGAATTGCGACACTGCGGATCATCGTCGAACAATCAGTTGAGTGGAACTCGTCACTATACATCAACTTCATCGATTATGAAAAGGCGTTTGATATCGTGGATAGGAGAACATTATGGAAACTTCTCCGACATTATGGAGTTCCTGAGAAGATTCTCAGCATTATTCGGAACTCATACAACGGACTACAGTGCAAAGTCGTGCATGGAGAACAGCTGACAGATGCATTCCAATTAAGGACCGGAATAAGACAAGGTTGTCTACTCTCGCCGTTCCTCTTTCTTCTAGTGGTCGACTGGATTATGAAGACCTCGAGATCTGAGGGACAACACGGAATACAATGGACAGCTCAGGACAAATTAGACGATTTGGACTTCACAGATGACCTAGCCCTCCTATCCCATACACACGAACAAATGCAGTTGAAGACAGCCAGTGTAGCAGCAGTCTCTGCCTCTGTAGGCCCCAACATACACAAGGGGAAAACCGAGGTCCTCAAATACAACACGGGGAACACCAATGCAATCATACCTGATGGCGAAACTCTGGAAGATGTAGAATCGTCCACGTACCTGGGAAGCATCATCGATGGACAAGGAGAATCAGATGCAGATGTAAAGGCGAGGATTGGCAAAGCAATGGCCGCATTCCTACAATTGAAGAACATATGGAACTCAAAACAACTTTCAACCAATATCAAAGTGAGAATCTTCAATACGAACGTCAAGGCAGTTCCACTGTACGGAGTTGAAAGTTGGAGAACTGCTGCAACCATCATCAAGAATTTACAGGTATTTATAAATAGTTGTCTACGCAAGATACTCAACATCGATTGGCCGGATACCATCAGCAACAACCTTCTGTGGGAGAGAACAAGCCAGCTTCCTGCTGAAGAGTAAGTTAGGAAAAGACGATGGAAATGGATAGGACATACATTACGCAAATCGTCAAACTGCATCACGAGACAAGCCCTAACTTGGAATCGTGAAGGAAGGCGGAAGAGAGGAAGGCCAAAGAACACATTACGTCGGGAAATAAAAGCAGATATGGAAAGGATGAATAACGACTGGAGGGAGCTGGAAGGGATTGCCCAGTACAGGGTTGGATGGCGAATGCTAGTGAGCGGCCTATGTTCCTCCACGAGTAGTAACAGGCGTAAGTAAAATATGATTGTTAAGTTTTATTAACAGGTTCTGTAATTTCCTGTCAAATACATTCGATTGTCCCCACTCGTGTTACTGTTCAATACAGTATCCCTTCTTTTAACCTATAAATGTTTCGATTAGTTTCGCCATATTCCACCACGACTGTATTTTTAATCGTTCAACTATAGGTTACTGACTGATCAGGGAATTTTTATACTTCTAATAAATTTAAATGAACTAGTTCATTGAGGTATTATCACCAAATATTATACAACTAGTTTTACGATAATATGTTGTCCATTTTATATACTTATTGTATTTTGCTTAAGCTACTTTTTTTCCAGAAAAATCAATGTTCTAAAGTAATTATTTTTATCGTAGCATTTTGAAACTTTTACTCTTCTTTTACTTATAGGAGCTCAGTGTTCAAGATGTAATTGATTCTGATTATCCAGATATTTCTCGGTTGGGTGTATTACAAGGTGCAGGAGATGATAAACTCGGTCGTAAAATAATTGTTTTCTCAGCTTGTCGTCTACCAGCAGCTGATTTAATTGATCATCAACATCTTCTAATGTAAGTCATGATTATTTGATGAACCTGGAATTAAATGAATCAGTCTGTAAAAGCTCAACGCTACTCACTGTCCATGTCTCAGTAGTAAAGGCGTTCAACTTTTAGCCATGTTGCGGTTTCGAATCCCGCACCACCTGCTTCTTTTTGACAAAACAGGTAGCATCATTAACCCTCACACTTCGAGTGTGACGAATGAGTCAATTAATTAACCAGTTAGTTAACTTGTTAAGATGTAATATTGAAGGGAAAGATGAATTTTGGTTAACCGCCCAACTTTTTTAGTAAATGATAACTATTTACTATTTTGTGCAGTTTACATCTCTGAAATAGCATCATTCTTCTCACACAAATCCGTAATTTATAGTTTTTCCTGGGGAAGACTAAATCGAACAGTGTTATGTATGTATTAGGATCTGTTTGAGAAAATAATTCTATACATTTGTTACAATTATTATCTGCTAACTGCTTTTTCCGTAATTGACGCTAAACCTTTCGATGCACTACTGCTGATTGGCTTACTCGTTTTATACAAGTAAGTTACCGTCGTTGTTCTCTTGATGTTATATTCGGGTCTGCTTATAATGATCAAGCTATATTAACTGGAATCATCGGTCCAACCATTATATGGGAGTCGATTAGAAGGAGATAAAACTAAGTGTTCCAACTTACTGTCCGATGACGAAATCGTAATACTGACTTTACTGTAAGATGTGAACGGGAGTATGGTTTTTGAGAAACTTGATATTTAAGAAGACAGTATGTAAGTATAAAAACTCCGTATGTAAAAACAAAACATGAAATTAAGACAGTAAAATTACCAACTATCAGTAAGAACAACTGATCAAATAGTAACAACCATCATTATGGAAATATGAATTGGAGGAATGTTATCATGGTTTTCCTCATACGTAAGGGTTATCATTTATTAACAGAAAGCTCGATAACCTGAGGTATTCCTATCCAAAAACTCTCGAGATCACCTTATCCACAATCAAATCCCCTCTTCATTTCCTTATACTTCTTCTCTCCCTACACTTAATCCGTCCCCTATGGCTTCATCTTATTTTCTATACCTTACTAATTCTAGTAATTAGAGTCCAGGGGATGTTATTCCTGGTTCTCCAAAGCCGCACTGCTAACAGTGTTCGAATCTTTTGTCGAGCCGGGGAATGCAATCTTTTGTCCAGGACTTTAAAATCTCGTCTCTTTGTTCTGTGTCTATGAAACTCATACAGGACCCAGATACATTTCTATCGTCAGAAGTCTCGTTTCTTAACCATGAAGTCACTGCCGCTTTTATTCCCTGTGACCGATCTTTAGAAATTCCTTCGTTTTTAAAGATTTCTTACTTTTTTTAAACTTATGTGGAACCCAGTTTATTTGTTTATTTTTGTAACTAGAATATTGTAAATACCTTTGTTGTCCATCAGATACTAAGTTAAATATTTGTTCAAAGTAAATAGTTCAATACAATAGACCACTACCTTGTTTGAGGCAGACATTCTAAAATAAAACGTGCAGTTTTCATATGATGGCATATATATATGCCATTTTCAACCAAATTTTTGTTAGGCTTTCAAATCATTGCTTTTGTTAATGCAGTTACGTGTGTGTGAGAGAAGTATGTGCATTAACAGACTGTTTTATTTGTATGAATCAATACGAACTTTAATGATTCTATATAATGAATTTGATCGGTTAGGTTTTTCATTAACGGAAAAACACTATCGTTACATATGATAAACTTATCAGGAATCCAATTACAATGAGCATAAAACTGTGATTTAGACAGCGGATTCTTTCAGTTTTTGACCAATAATTGTTCGGAAAAGTTTATGACTTTCAAAAAGCTCAATAACTTGATTAGTTCCCATAAATTATTTTAGAGCTTGAAAAACATTTTTATAAAATAACGTTGTGTGGCTCAACTCGAGTATCAACTATCGAATGCTGAGTTTGGACTACATTACAGTTATTTGTGGTTTTTAATAGCCGATAGTATCTATAACACACACTGATTATGATCGAAGGCTAAGTACACAAATTTCTGTGTTCAGTTAAAATGCGCTACATTGGTTAAAAATTAGTCAAATTCTTTTGTCAAATAAAGCGTGTGTCTTGTGACCTTCGGAGAAATAATAACACTAATTTTCTATTAGTAATTAAGTAAAACTGTGTCTCGAAAATCGAGTACACATATACAATTATCACGATTATCATTCACCCAGGGTCTTGTTCATAGCTAAATTGAGGAGGGTAGTTTGAAAGAACTTTCATAGCAATCGCTGTCAATGAAGAGGAGGCGTTGGACGTCCCGAACGCTCGGACTTAGATGGTCCAACAGGTCGACAGCTACGGAATTCAGCACGCCAGCGGGCTCGATATTTCGACGAGGAGTGAGTCACAGACTGATGAAAAAGAAAGCGGCACGGCGAGCGTACAACTGTAAGAGCGACTTATCAAAGGGGAGACGAGCGTGGTGTGCGCTACTTATGTGGACAGATATAAGTATGTAGCAGGAATGCTTACCAGCAGAAGATTGAAATAAAGAGAACAGGAAGGAAAACGGAAAGCAATCAGAATAGTGACAGAATTAGAAGAATGATGGAATGTGTAAAGACAACTCAAGGAAGATGTACAGATGATGTATTTGATGTATGATTTTCATATTTTACAAAGGGAATGTGTAACTTTGCATAAAATAATAGATTTGTCTTCCCCAGCAAACCTTCATTCACTACACAACTTACATAATTGTCAAGCTTTACACTGGATATGACTGACCTGACTACAGTGCATATTAAACTTTGGAATAACCGGTAATTTGCCTTTGTTAGTTTACTAGGCCTGATCAGTTAACCCCTCTTGATCAATATAAACTGCTTATGAGTGTAGTGAACGAGAACTCAGGTGGAGAAAACCAATTTATTGTTTAATGCTCAATCGTACAGCGGTTTAGTAAAATGTGGAAATCGTACATCATTTGCACATCTTTGAATTGTCTCTTACAAGCTTCGTTGTTCCTTCATTCCTGTTGTTATCTTGATTGCTTTCAGTTTCCTTCTATCTTCTCTTCATTTCAATTTTCTTAACCTTCTGCTGGTAGACAGTCCACTTCCGATTGGTGTTACGTACCGGTTATATCTGTCAACATAAGTAGCCTACACTACATGAGTATCTCAGTACTTGTGGGATAATCTATCCATAATATTAACACTCAGTCTGTGTACAACTTTGTTCTTAATGTGTGGCAATTCTCTTAATATTGGATTATTATTCTTGTTACCTTTTAAATCTTTGAATGTAAAACAATTTACTTATTCGTGTATATCTGAACTTATTCTAATAATCCATGTTAATTTTCCATGTATATATATATATATATATATATATATATATATATATATATATATATATATATATATATATATTTACTATTTTAGGTATATTACTAAAACATTGGAACAATATGTCAGTATTGATTACGTCCTAATTTACTTCCACTTCGGACTTACTAACAAAAATCGACCTAAATTTAAATGGCTTGTTCAAGCTTATAGAACGTTTGGGCGCAAGTAAATTGCTCATTATTTTATTATTGAATGACGAACACCATTTCATCGTTATTTTTTCACTTTTGATGGACTATAAACGATGCCTATTTTCATTTGGAATCGGATAAATATGGTGAATAATTCGGTCTATCTATAGTTTTTGTAGATTAGTTTACGTTGGAGTTGGTTTTTATCTCCGATTGATAGCGACAATAGAATTTTTACAAATCAGGGAGCACTGAATAACTATTGGATCTTGAAATGTTACTCCTCGCTAGTGTGCAATTGTTCTCTCCATAGCCCAAATCAGTGACTTTCAGTGTTTACGACGAGTTCGTTACCTTCAGACCATTTAGTAGTAGTAATCTGATGAGCTCATAGAAGAGGGAAAAAATTAGGCTTGGTTCATAGTTAATCAATATCTTGAAAGATATAGTAGTAAATTGAGGGTTCAAATCATGTCATCGACTACCACCTCAGATCACTTAATCTTGATTTACTAATGATCTCACCATTATAAATACTTGACATGTTTCGCTTTACTAACAGAAGGCTTTATTAGTTGTACATTATGTATTTTATTTGGATATTTCTGAATCCCTTCTAACTTCTCCCTCTGAGTAGTTATTATTGGTCTGGTAGATTACTGAGATATATCTTAATAATGGCAGGAAATGTTATTCCATGGATATAGAACAGATAGAATTTAGCTAGCAGTGGAATCGACAACGCGCGTTTCGTCCTATTAGGAACTCGTTATCTGGATGTTGGTAAATATTTGTCTTTTCTTAATGTCTTCATTTATATTGTTCGAAATTCTCGACGTTGGATTTAATGCTAATCCCATGGCTTGGAAGTTATACCGCTAAGACTTCTGTTTCATATATTTTTAATTCCTTGTTATCACTTCCTTTCAAAAATAATAAACCCTAACCCAACGCAATACTGCAATTTATGCCTACTAGTCACATATAATCAGATTAGCACGTCAATTATCCAACTATCCATTGAATGGTGATATATTATCTCCGTTAATTCATTGATATTTACTTTATCAGTAGTAGAGAGTACCCTTTATGAAATTGTTGAATTATGTAAAATGATTACATTAGGGATTAATTACATCAAGACTATATTACTAAAAAAAAATTAGTTCTAGACGAGTTCAAAAATACAACACGTAATATTTGAAAATAAAATACCCTAATTAATTAAGTTAATGGTAATTTTTTTCTCACATTTCATAATATTAGTTTCAGGTTGACGTTATCAGATCCATATAATTTATTTAAAATGATTTTATTATTGCCTTCTCTCTCTCTCCCCAGTTTTCGTAAAAATTTGAAAACACTTTACATTGTACATCCTACTACTGGTATAAAAATTTTATGGACTCTCTTCAGACCATTTATCAGGTAGGATTATATTCTGTCTGTTTGTTTGTTGGTTAATATATCTATACATATTCATAGTTGTAAATATTATTTTTTAACAATTGTCAATGTATTATGTCATTGATTTTTAGATTGTATTGCAACACAGGAACATAAGATTGTTTACTGTTAATTTAATTAAAAAGTATGAGCGGTAAATAAATGACAGTGAAATAATAACTATCAGTACTTACTTAGGTACACCTGTTATTTCTCATGGAGCATAGGCCACCGACCAGGGATATCCGATCAGCTCTGTTACGGTCCCTCCATTCAAGGTGTTACCAAAGTGCTATTCTTCGTTTTGATGTCTACCTTCGATTCCTGGCGCAGTGTGCTTTTTGGTCTGCCTTTCTTCCTTCAGGTATCCAAACTAGAGCCTGTTTCGTGATGCAGTTTGATTATTTCCTCAGTGCGTTCCCTATCTTTTCCTAGTTTCTCCTTCATCTAGAAGCTGGTTTTTTCTCTGTCACAGTAGGTCGTTGCTGATAGTGTCTGGCCAAAGAATCTGAAGAATCTTGTATAGACAACTGTTTATAAATGCCTTTACCTTTTTGATGATAGTTGTAGTGAGTCGGTCAGCAACAACGTAGAACTTCGCACATACGTGCGCACGTACATCAGTTCAAGTTGTCATACCACACTAACACAGAGATACAGTTGTCGATCCTAATCCCATAGTGGTAGAGGTAGAAAAAGTATAAGCAGTTATCGGAAAGATTAGGGTTTAGAGATGTTATTCAAGGAGTATAATTCAGTGAAATGAATTTGGAAAGAGAAAAAAAGGAACATAAAGAATTCAGAAGATTAGAATTTCAGTCAGTCACAACGTAGAACATCGTACGTCCGTACATTAGTTCGAGTTGCCACACCACATTAGCGCAGAGATGCAGTTGTCCATTCAAATCCCGTAGTGGTAGAGGTAGCAAGAGTATAAGCAGTAATCGGAAACATTAGCGTTTGGAGATGTTATTTAAAGAGTATAATCCAGTGAAATAAATTTGGGGAGAGGAAAAAGGGACATGAAGAATTCAGAAGATTAGAATTTGGAAGAACACAAAAAGTGGATGCACCTGCGCCATTGCAAACGATTTTAAGCCATGTCATTCAGGGTGTCTAACCATAGGTTGCTATCATCTCGTGGTCCCCAACCAGGTAGTCTACACCTACCAACATGGCTCAGTCCACTTGTCAGTGACTTCATGGACTTGTGCCATGTTTTGGCTTGGCCGCCCCTGGCTTTCTTCCAACCTACTCCTATACCACTGAACATAGCACGTCGAGGCAGTCGGTCGTTGGGCATACGTAACACGTGTCCCAGCCACCTCAACTGATGAAGTTTCACTACTTCATCAATTGATTTGCCATCCTTACCTAGAACCCGTTTCCTAACAACTGCGTTACTTACTCGATGGTCCCAGGATATACGAGCAATGCTTCAAAGACATCTATAATCGAATACCAGTAACCTATGAATATCCTCTACTCTTACCGGCCATGTTTCACTGCCATAAAGTAGGACGAAAAGTTCTGCTGCGCAGTAAACCCGTCCTTGGATTGGTAGACGGGTATCTCACCTACTCCATAAATAACGCAAGTTGGCCAAAGCTAGTCGAGCCTTCTGTATCCATGCTGAGATTTCGTCACACACCAGACCACGAGGGTTGATGAGACTCCTATGATAAGTGAAGCGATCGGCACGCTCAACTACTTCACTCCCTATCATTAGTTTGGGTGTCAATGCAACCCAATCCTGAAGCAACATTTTGCATTTCGAGGGGGAGAATCGCATCCTGAACATGCTTGCATTGTTGCTTAGAGTGGTCAGAAGACTCTGCATTTTGTCAGCGTCTTCACCAAATAGAACTATGTCATCAGCATATTCTAAGTCAACAAGTGAACCTCCCGGTAGAAGTTCAACCCCTGGAAATTTAGATGAGGAGAGTGTTATCTCTAAAAGTACGTCAACGACAAAGTTAAACAAGAATGGAGAGAGTGGACAGCCCTGACGAACACCACTTGAGGTGATCAATTCTGATGACAGTTCGCCATAAGCTCTCACTCGACTAGTTGTGTTCGAGTAGAGAGCCTTTATAAGGTTAATGTACTTCTTTGGTATTCCTTTCAGTGACAAACACTGCCATAGAACCTCACGATCAACAGAGTCGAATGCCGCCTTAAGGTCAAGAAATACTACGACTGTGGGGCATCTGAATGTGTGTCTGTGTTCTAGAACCTGACGTAGTGTGAATATCTGATCTATACAACCACGTCCAGGTCGAAAACCAACCTGATTTTCTCTAATCTGCTCTTCACGAGCTTTAGTTAGGCGTTGAAGTATTATTGAAGCTAATATTTTAGACACTATATTAGTCAAACTGATTCCTCTGTGATTGTCACAAGAGGACTTTTGTCCTTTCTTATAGACTGGCACAATCAGTGATTGAGACCAGTCAGATGGGATTATGTCCACTTCCCAAATTCTACCTAAGACCTCAGTTAATCTTGCTGCTAATACTGGACCACCATCCTTAAAAATCTCAGGAGTAAACCTGTCAGGGCCTGCTGCTCTCCCTCGTTTCAGATTTCCTATGGCTTTTTCAACTTCGTAAAGGGACGGAGGACTTACATTAACTTGCCATTCAGGTTGACTGGAGATCGTGGGAAACCGAAGTGTGGCTGAAGGCCAGTTGAACTGATCCCTAAAGTGTTCTGCCCATCGATCCAATCTCCTGGATTGAGAATGAATAATACGTCCATCTTTCTCTGAGATTGTTTCGCTAACGGTCGGGTTCCTAATTCCGGTTTCCTTACCAAGTCTGAACAATTGTCTGCTATTACCTATTGCCGCTGCCTTTTTCATCTCTCTTGATTTCGCTACCCACCACTATTCGCGATCATTGCGTACTCTTCTTTTCAGCTTGTGCTTAAGCTGACTCTGCTCTTCATTATGTTCAGAGCCAGGTGGAATGAGTTTCCGAGCATCTTTCAGTGCGATAGATGCTGCTGAGATCCAGTGTTTCTCCCTAACCTTACGGTTTACCGTACTAGCAGATATCACTGCTGTTTCCACAGCTTTTCGGATATCATTTCATGCTGCCTCGGGATGGGCATCACATACATGACTGCCTAACTGTTTTTCTAGTTGTTCCTGAAATATATTCTTAGCTTGGCTATCATTAAGTAGGACCCTAAGAGGTTTCCTTACATTGTCTTTCCTACGTTCAGTAAGACGCAGACAAATACGCGCTCGCGCTAGAACATGATCCGAATCCAATCATATGTTCCAGAACGACCGACAGTCTTCTATCGAGCTCCTCCATCGGTGGCTGATAGCAATGTGATCCATTTGGGTCCAGCGTTTGGACGAATTCGGGGGTTGCCATGCCAAAATGTGTTTTTCCTTATGTTTATAGTTAGTATTTGCAAGAAACAGGCGGTTATCTGAGCATATTTGCAACAGACGGTCGCCATTACTTGTTCTTTGAGCCACAAAACCAAAAGATTCACCCAGGTGTCTTTCCTTTTCGCTTAGTTTACCTACTTGAGCATTAAAGTCACCGGCCACTATGACTACATCAGAGCGCCTAGCTTTTCGGAGAAGGTCCGAAAGCTTTCTGTAAAACTCATCTTTTACATCATCTGAGCTGCAGTCAGTGGGAGAGTAGGCAGAGACAACGATGAGGCAACGACAAGTGTCCCTATCTTTCCGAGTCCTTACTGTTCCGTTCAGTCGGACAGCGCACAAACGACTGTCTACTGAGATCCACTCTAAAAGAGCTAGTTCTGCCCTAGGACTCAATGCTATACCTACGCCAGCGAGGCCACGGGAAGCAGCATCGGGGCTTCGAGATACACGAATTGTGAATCGAGATGGCTCTTTATTTTGATATGGTGAGGTCAAATGAATGACGCTAATCGGATCCTGTATACGCGTTTAGGAGACGCAGCATACACGGCGTGAGATCCTATAGTCTTAGGTAAGGAAGCCTGTTGTCCCATTTGGCACAGTGTTCGGATTTTATAAGCTCCTACATGTAGTATAGAACGTAGTTTCAGGAGACCAGGAATAACGTTCCGCGTAGTTGAATCGTTTGCACCAGCGGTGCAAGATGATAAAGGACCGTGAGAAGTGTTAGTCGTGAAGATAATAAGGTTATTAGGTGTAGTGTTTCTTCGATCCATCCATTATATCTGACCGGCTCAAGTTCACCTACTAGTGAAGGAGTTGAAAGCAGTTTTCCGATTCGAAAGAAACTAGATAAAAGTTCTTTTTTTTCAAAGATAGAGTAATGAAATAACTTCTACTGTGTCTATACTTATAACATGCGAATTATGTTAACTGGTCTGTACTCATACTACTTCCTGAAGCCTGTTTTTCTTCGACTCATTGGCATATGGTGTTTTCCGTTAGTTGAAGTAAATTAATTCTCCTTTACTTACTTACTTTACTTACACCTGTTACTACTCGTGAAGGAACATAGGCCGCTCACTAGCATTCGCCATCCAACCCTGTACTGGGCAATCCCTTCCAGCTCCCTCCAGTCGTTATTCATCCTTTCCATATCTGCTTTTATTTCCCGACGTAATGTGTTCTTTGGCCTTCCTCTCTTCCGCCTTCCTTCACGATTCCAAGTTAGGGCTTGTCTCGTGATGCAGTTTGACGATTTGCGTAATGTATGTCCTATCCATTTCCATCGTCTTTTCCTAACTTACTCTTCAGCAGGAAGCTGGCTTGTTCTCTCCCACAGAAGGTTGTTGCTGATGGTATCCGGCCAATCGATGTTGAGTATCTTGCGTAGACAACTATTTATAAATACCTGTAAATTCTTGATGATGGTTGCAGCAGTTCTCCAACTTTCAACTCCGTACAGTGGAACTGCCTTGACGTTCGTATTGAAGATTCTCACTTTGATATTGGTTGAAAGTTGTTTTGAGTTCCATATGTTCTTCAATTGTAGGAATGCGGCCATTGCTTTGCC